ATTTTGCAATTTTCATTGCACTTTCTGCCATCTTTGCATTTTGAGAGTCTTGTTTCTCCTTTTTCCTTATGTGATTTAGCAAGTATAGTAGAAGGGACTGGGGAATATAACTGTGCCATCCCCAGACAAAATGGCTCACTATATTTTTCTAGCATTTTCTCCCGCTGTAAATGACTGTAAATTTATTCATGATATGAAAATGTTATGGCCTGTTTTTCCATCAGGCCCACCTAAATCTTAGGGGGAAAATGTTATTAATCATAGTCATAGCCCTGGTGCCACAGCATTTTGAGCCTAGGACCATTGGAAGGGCCCGCGGTTTGGACCCACCTGCCTCACTGCAGAGAAAGTGGAAGCAGGGTACCCAGAAAGGCAGGGAACACCCCAGAGACCTGATCGGACAGGCTGCAGACTCACTGTGAGTCAAAACTTGACAGTAGTGATTTGGTTTTCTCTTTTTGTTTAATGTACACTGGTTCTCAAGGCTGGAATGGAATCACCCATGTGAAAAATAAGGAAAGTTACTTTGGCAGGTTGTGCTGATTTATCATTCCACATAAAAAAGATACCTGCTACTCCCTTCATTGTTCTTCGGTAAAATTGTATATCACATAAGTTTTTTGTTTTGTTTTGTCTTTTAGGGATAGTATTTTTACGTATTTTGCTCTCAAACCCTACCCACTTGATTTGGTTTCAGCAGTTAATCTTGCAGTGTAAGCCTTTTGACTGAAGGGGATTGTTAAATAACAATACATTTTATATAGGGGTTTTTGGTGCTAAAATTATGTTTTATATCCCATGTGTAAGGGGGTTTCTTTTGCAAGTGTTAATGGTAGGTGACATGCTCTGTTCTAAGTAGACTTGCAAAATATGCTTAAGAAAAGCAGTATTTCTCTGGACCATATCAAAGCCATCCCTCACCCTGCCTTCCTAGTGGCTGGTTACTGTAGAGGGTGATGGCCTGCCCCACAGTGAATATAAGGTATTAACCCAGTTGATGGTTTAAGAACTGTTTACTTACCACATAAAACAGTCCTACAGTCTCATACATTGTCTCGGCTTTCTTTGTTGTTTATGAGAGCAATTTCATTTTCCCTTTTTCTGCCTTTGAATTTTTAATGTAGAGACATCTTAAGATGCATCAACAAAATACAGTTTAGGATAGTGCCAACTGCCTGGTACACAGGGAGATACCTCGAGTTAAATTGATTTTAATGGTCTAATACTTGCTTTTCCCCCTTAAGCTGTATTTTGTAGTACACATGTCTGTTTAGCATATTCCTTCATACTTCTTATGTTTGTTTATTTTTCAACCAAGAAAACAGATTGATAACAATTCTTTGATAACAGTCACAGAAGATTATAAGAGCATGTCATCTTAATTCTGTCTATGGAAAGTACGGTGTAAAACATTATGGGTTTTTTAGTCTCTTAACTGCATTTATTTTAATTTCTCTGAAAAAGTTATGGCAAGTCTGGTGTAATTTTACTAGAGATTGAGTCTCATGTACTAAAATAAGTAAAGACACAGTTTTGCTTTTCTTTATCTTTCTGAAATGCCACGGGGTTTTGTTTTGCATTGTTTTTCCTCTAGTATGTCAGCTACTGTTTGAATTTTAGTATTTAGAAGGTATGTGGCTGCTTTTATTGGCATGTCATGCTTATACGGGTTTAGAAGCTGAAATTGTGAGCTTGGAAAGCAATTGCTAATATTGTAGGTTTGTGTTTTTATTTTTCTTTTACAACCAAGTAAATAAATAAATAGATCACTTTTAAATAAATAGATCAGACTCATCCAAGCTTTTTTCCTGGTTTGTAAAATGTATCCCTTTAGGAGACAAAGAAGTGGAAGGATATTGTGAAAAGATAGAACTGTTAGAAGGAAAGATTATGGTCTTTAATATTCTTTTGAGAGAAAATGAATGACTAGGTCAAGTATTTATTTGTTATGAGCTCTTTAACATTCATAAATAAAAGGAGGAAAAGAAAAGACAGAGAGCAAAGTCATAAATAACTGGGATAATCTTGGGCATGGGGGAGGATGTTTTTTGTGAAAAACACAACCCCCAAATCTCAAGTCCATTTCAGTTAATTCTAACTTGCAGTGACTTTATGTGCTGTGGAGCAGAACCATTTGGTAGAGTTCTGTTGGCAGAAGCAGTCCCATGGCAGAGCTGGATGGCTTTGAATCAATGAAGTACACTAGTTAAGGAGCCTAACTAGATGTGAATGAGGCTCAATATCAGTGAAACCAGAGAAAAAGAACACAATTCAGATTTGCTGATGAATATTAAAAATAAAACCCAAACATGACTCACCTAATCTACCACAGCATGAACTTAAAATGCAAAATGATTTGAGGTTAATTATTCTCAGTTATTAGGAAGTGGGACTCTGCATATTTTGAATCAGTAACTGAAGAATCTAGTCCATACAGTCGGTTCCTGAAAAGTGTGTTCTAGTGGATTAGTGATGTATATTTAGTTTTAAATGCATTTTACATCTATTTTAATATGAATGCTTGTATCTTATATTTTGGGAAATTACTTCAAATGATAATGACAAGATCATAACAAGATATCAGAACTCAAAAAATGGTATTGTTCTTGAATCATCTTGGTAAATGTTATAAATCAGTGATAGGGAAATGGACATCTTACTTTAGGATTCCCAGAGCTTTTAATACCACACTGTGCATTGGGAAGTTCTAGGAGTTACAGTGTTTAGTTTATTATAGATGATTAGTGGTTGTTGTTGTTTTAAATCTTGAGTCCTTTTCTTTTTTCTTTTAGCATTTGAAGGAGTTAAAGTTCCACAGAACACACTTTGAGAAAGTTAGCACTAGATAACTCTTAGACTTCTGTCAAGTGTAAGAAGAACAACTCTAGAAACAAAACATTTAGTGAACAATTGTCCACACTGTTGTCTAAATGTTTACCACTCAAAAGTATGGTCTACTGAAAAGGATCTACATTTTAACAAGGTCTTCTGGTGAGGCACATTCAAGAACTTTAGTTTGCCCCTGGGTGATCTGTGATTGTCTGTTGAGGTCTTCATGATGGTATGCCTTTCCTGAACACGTTCAGCACAAGAGATGCTGACAGGGAGGTTTACGTATGTACAGGAGGCTGACATCTCTCACTTCCAGTGAGGTTTCCCAGAGTGCAAAGGAAGACAGCTGTGGCACTTAGAATAGGATCTGTTTTGGAGTGCTGGAATCTTTCAGAAGTCTTGCTAGAATATTTTCTCTCTACTTGTGCTGATTTGAAATCTTATTAAGCCAGAGAGTAGTGCCTGGCAAATGGTTTATCTTGCCTTGGCTATTCATACTTCCCAATTCATTTTTATTGTGTTAATTAAACCTCAAGTGATATTTCAAGTACAGATTGTTTTTTCCATTATTGAATCTTTGGCCAGCATATTAATGTGGTAGAATTAATGTGAGTCAGCTGCTTAGTCATTTGTAGAAGACTTTACATTTAAAAGATCTAGACTTGGCTGATTTTACACAGATTCCTACGGAAACTGCTATGACAGAGTGATACAATTTCACTATAAATAAATGCGACTCACTCTTCTCTCACACATAGAGATATAATTATTTTTAGAATGTGCTGGATCTTAGATCATGAGTATGCAGTGACATTTATGATCTGTACTAGAATGGGCATGTTGTGCAGTGCTTTATGTTCAAGTCCCAGGTCCACACATACTTGAATGTCTTAAGATGTGTTTGATTTTTTCAAAACGCATCATCTCATTCACTGCTTTTGAGTTGGAACCAACTCATAGCTGACCCTCCAGTTTTCTGAGGCCAGAAGGAGATTGCCCATTATTTCCTGCAGAGCTACCGAGTAATTTGAACCAACAGAGAGGAGAGATATTTAGGTTAGTATCACAGCATCCTATAGACTGTTTCAAAAGAAGTCCCTTCCAAGATTCATATTCTTCATTAATTAAATGAGAAAAAAGATAGAGCCTCACAACTAGTGGTGAGAAAGGTAGGGGCCCTGATAGTGTTACATGTTGGACTGCTAACCAGAATGTTAGCACTTTGAATCCACCAGCTTCCCTGAGGGAGAAAGATGAGGCAGAAGCCTCCTGTAAAGATTACAGCCTTAGAAACAATGGCGAGTGGCCATGGGCTGTAACTACAAGACCGGAATAGGTTTGGTTTTCCTTTGATTACAGCAGTAAGCAGGCTGTCTGGTCTAGTCAGTGTCCACCAAATGGTGATGTTGTTAGCTGCTGTCACGTGGCCTCTGACTCATGGTAAGCCTTATGTAGAACAGGAAAAGGTTTTCTGGTCTTTCAGTGTCCACATGGTTTCTGGCATATTTGAGTCTATTACTGAAGCAACTGCTGGACCAATTCTTCTCTCAGAGGGCCTCCCTCCTGATGACCCTTTACTTTCTCAAGCATGACTTTATGGTCTTGATTATGAAAGAGTATAGTAAGGAGGAAGAGGAAAAATAGATGCCATTCCACAAGCACCCATTTATGCACTCAAAACTAGATTGGTTGCAACAGTGAGTGAATAATAATAATAATTAAAATATCTGGAAAAAAAGAAAAAACTGGATTAGTAACTGTAGAAGAGATCCACCTCTTAAACAACATGCCTCTGGAAACCCTGTGAACTTTGATAAATGTTGAGAGTTGTTGAGAGGCTTCAGGCCTTCATAGAGTCGCTATGAGTTGTGCTCAACTCGAAGGCAATTAACAACAGTAAGATAGTATCATTTAATAAAAAGGTTTTTCTATAATTATAAGAAATGTATGATATTTATTTCCAAGGATTATTACCAAACTTTTTTTGTTCACATTTAATCTGTAAAAATTATCAATCTAGAACTTTCAATTTCTATATAAATCAGCCTCAGAAAGCAAATAAGGATTGAAATTAAAGCACGGAATGTTATGTTTTCAGTTATTCTTATTATTTTAATAATGCCTTTATCCGTTGGCACACATCTCCATTTCCTTTTCTTGATCTACAGGCTTGCCATCAGCAAGTCTGACTGCACCCAACCTCACTGTGGAGGAAGGAAAGTCTATTACATTGTCGTGTAGTGTCACAGGTGATCCGGCTCCTGACATGTACTGGGATGTTGGGCATCTGATCTCGAAACATCTGGTAAGGCTTGTGTTGGGCTCAGTATTAAAAAAAAGAGATAATGACAGTCTATCGGAATTTGTATTAAACGTAATTAAATCAGATTTAAACCAGAAATTAAATTCATCAAATCAGAAATTGTATTAAACCTAAATTAATCATCATTTAATATTTTATAAGGCCACATATAGATTGATGTGGATTTACTTTCTATTTATTCAAACAAAGACTGACGCAGGTTTGCATCTTAGTGTGTATACCCCTAGACTGGAGAGTCTGTAGATCCCTAATGACGTCTCTGTGACATCATGAGCCAGGTGAGTAACTCTCATTGAGGTCTTGTCCCTTGGAAGAAGGTGGGAAGGAATTAAAGGATTAAGTAAAGTTTAAATGTTAAGCAATTAAAACTAGAGAAATAGAATAACTTCTATTTATCTCTTTGCCTGCACTCTATTAATTTTCTAATGTTATGTGTGTATATATAATTTTTTTTTCTTCCCTAACCCCCCTCCAGTTTAGAGAAGAAATAAAAATCTTGTCACTTTGGGTTCAATCCTAATAAAGATTATTTTTTTCTCTTAATTTGTTTGTAGAATGAAACAAGCCACACACAGGGCTCCTTAAGGATAACTAACATCTCATCTGATGACAGTGGAAAACAGATCTCTTGTGTGGCTGAAAATATTGTAGGAGAAGATCAGGATTCTGTCAACCTCACTGTGCACTGTACGTAATCAAACCGGCATGTGTTTTTAATAGTAAATTATGGTAGGCTGATGTCCATTTGTCATTGGGAATGTTGGGAGCTGCTTGTTGAAAATTATTGGCAGTGTGTGGTGCACATTTAATTGAGAAATACTTATTGATCAATCTCTTTTACTTGGCCTTTTTACTGTTCAGTCTCTCTTGCTCACATAATTCCTTTTTCTTTTATGCTTCTCTTTCAACTTTGACCGTGTCCTCTTCTGTCTTTTAGGATAGAATTGTTGTTGTTATTAGGTGCAGTCAAGTCAAATATGACACATAGCAACCCTTTCTATGAACAACAGATCTGAACCCTGTCCTATCTTATGCCACCTTCATATTTCCTGACATAGTAGAGCCTAATGAGTTACCTCGGTGTCAATCCACCTGCGCAATGGTCTTCCCCTCCTTCGCTGACCCTCCAACTTACTGAGCATCATGTCCTTTAAGGAATAGCCCCTCCTAGCAATATGCCTAGAGTAAGTGAGGTAAAGCCTCATCATCTTTGCCTCCAAAGAGCACGCTGGCTGCACCCTCTCTAGAACATATTTGTCTTGTCATTAAGATAGAATACATTTTGGTTATTCTCATTTTATTAATAAATTTTAATTTATGCAATAAATTAAATGTTCTATATTAATATATGCAGCTTTAAAATTGTAAAATTGGAGTGCTGGTTGGCAGTACACCAACCCCTAATTATACTGTTGATGTACTAAAAACTCATTAATATACTCAAGTGACAGGGGACATACCATGACCTTGCAGGAAGTTTTCCAGGGCCAGGACACCTGTGACTTACCCAGATGTACGAAAGGGGCTGCATGATTTGTAGTAGTGTGGGACTGTGCTCATGTTCTCCCCTTTAAATAAAAAAATCCAAACAAAACCCCCATTAGTTCAGTACCAAAGTTCAGTGAGAAAGTAAGAGTTATACTAATTTAAGTATAAAATTGACTTTATTTCACTTGAAAAAATTTTATTATGATTTTTAAAAATTCCTGTATACATTAAAGTGAGAATATTAAGTATGAATGCTTCTTAATTAAGCATATGTGCATTAATTTCCAGTACTATAAATAATACTTCATATGTATTAAAATCCCAGATTGTGGCATTCTGTGTGAACTTATACTCACTAAGAATCACATATGCATTTCACATCATTACAAATTCAGATCTTACATGGTATAAATTAGTGAGGATTTTCTCTGTTGGGATTAGAAACTGGGTAGAAAAAATGAGTGTACATGCGTTTCAATTTATATATACATTACACACATGTAGATATATGACTATGACTGGTATCAGTGAATAGGTGGTGTACCTTGTAGCACACATTCAGTATGTAGCTGCTGAAGTGAAAGACCAGCTAATCCTTTGTTGCTGTCTGTAATACCACTTTACCCAGCGTACCCCAAAGCTCGGCATCAATAATGTCATCAGACATATGTAACCAGCTTATATTTTATTCAACTTAAAGAAGAATCACACCAAGATCTCAGAGTATGGTGTTAGGTCTCTTAAGTTAGGTTGCATTGTTATAACAAAAATGTCATAATTTGATGCCTTTAACAAAAGTAATATTTTTTCTCACAGTTGGAAGGTTAGCAACCTCATTTCAGAGCTCTAACACTAGAGAAAGTCTTCCTTTTTCTCTAGACCTGGAATTGAGTAAAGCTTAATGATGACGCAAACTATAGAACTCAAAGTTGTTGCCATGTGTTTTCTTACGTATCAGTGATTCAGTAAAATCCCCTGTCAGTGACACAGAAATCTGGAAATAGGGAGAATTCTGAGATTTCTGATGCTATTAACTCTTTCTTTTTCAATTTAGTTGCGCCAACTATCACATTTCTCGAATCTCCAACCTCAGACCACCACTGGTGCATTCCATTCACTGTGAAAGGCAACCCCAAGCCAGCGCTTCAGTGGTTCTATAACGGGGCAATATTGAATGAGTCCAAATACATCTGTACTAAAATACATGTTACCAACCACACGGAGTACCATGGCTGCCTCCAGCTGGACAACCCCACTCACATGAATAATGGAGACTACACTCTGATTGCCAAGAATGAGTATGGGAAGGATGAGAAGCAAATATCTGCTCACTTCATGGGATGGCCTGGAATTGATGACGGTGAGTACTTGATGCTCTTACATATAAAGAGAATTTAAGGTGTATCAGTCAACCTTTGTCAAAATAATGTGTGTAATAAATCATTCCAAAATTCATGTCTTAAAATGTCATGATCTTCAGGGGTCTGTAGGTAGGTCAGGTCAGGGAGCTCTGGTGCCATGGTGTGGCATGAGCCAAGACCAACTCCATGGCAATGAGAGTAGGTCAAGTGGAACATTTTTATTCCATGGATGTATATTCCAGATGCAGGCTAAGGATGCTGAAGCTGAACAGGATATCTACTCCTGATAGAGTGAGAGTGCAGACTACAAGGAGAAACACATAGGCTTCCAGGGTCTGGCTTCCAGACTGGCCACTGGTGTTTTTGCCTGTATTCTATTGGCCAGATCAAGTCATATTGACAAATTCAAATCTAGCATGAGGGATATATGTATGCACTCTTCTAAAGTAAGTAATGAATGAAGTGGTGGAATAAATATTTTTGAACAACAATTATCCAGCTTATAAGAGTTTTAATTCATAGGTGAGAGAATTGTGATGATGATGATAATGATGATGATGATGATGATGATGACATTGCTTCAAGTACTTAGTGATAGTTTATACTTGAAAAGGCAAAATCATAGGCATAAATTTGGTGGACCTATGAATGGTTATGTTTTCTTCTCTAGGCCCTTGTCCATCTGGAATGTAGAATCTCACTGTCTCTCGTAGATGTGAACTCAATATCCTGAAGGATTTTGTGTATCAAACTGACTGAGTGGACTCATCCTTTTATCAGATTGTTGCCTGCTTTTCTAGGTGTAGTAATAGTTCCCATCTGATCATTGAGATTGTTTTGGGGTGAGGAATGATGGCTGTTCAGCGCCTACTCTTTGGGCTACAGAATTTCAACGTGAGCTGCAAGAGCAGCGTTGACAACTGTCATGTTCAACTGTTTGAGACTCCGCTGTGTATGGAGAAGTTGTACTTGCTTGAACATGTTTCTGGGATACTTACTACCATTGTGGAGTATGAGGTTGTGCTTTGCTGTTGGAACTTGCACGTGAATAGAATTCCTTACCCGAATAGCTCTACATTAGTCAAAGTTCCTCAAGGATTGCTTGGTAGAGGGAAGGGAAATAGAAACTCAGAGAGTGATAAGATTGGGGCTGCCTGGGAAGTTTAGCTTAGGGCATCACTGGACAAATATGATGGCTGCAAAGCCCCATTTCCTCAAACAGGTTAATGGGGGTGCAGGAGTTGTCATTATGTAACAACTCTTCCTATTGTCCCAGTATCCACTCAACAGCTTTTAAAATGTACCAGCTTCCTTAGTGAGTTAAAACTGTGATTTTAATTCTGTAAGTTGATTTATAAGCAGTCTTTCAGAAGCACATAAAACAAGCAGGGCCTGGATGTTTACAGACATTCTTGGCAGTTATGGTCACTCCCTTTAAATTTTCTTAATTGAGAATTCCTTAGATTTTATCTTTATTCTTGTGTGTATCGAGGAATAGTAGATTACAGTTAAATCCAGGTGTTTGATTTTGAACAACTGCCTTTAGTTTAGAGATTATTTATAGATTATTTCGAGATAATTTTGATCTTGTCCTTGGTTGATATAAAGTCTTCAGGGTGTGTAAAAGTAAATAAGATTAAGATCATAGTGTGAAAATAAATGCTACCCTCTTCTTGAATGTCGGTTTGCTTGAGCCCAGGGCTGTGTTCACTGTGCATTTTGTCATTGTCTGTCAACCACATATCATTAGACTGTTCTAGGGGTCTACAAAGCAGTACTATGTTTTGATCCATAAAGTTTTTATTGGATAATTTTTGGAAGTGGATCACCAAATTTTTCTTCTTAATGTATTTTTGTCTAGAAATCCCAGCTTCCAACATCATAGGAACACACAAGTCACATGGCAAATTGACATGTGGTATAGATTAAATAGTTTCAGACTTATTTTAAGATGTAAAAACAGGATGGAAGTTCCCCAAATACCCCTCACCGAGTTTTCCTCATTGTTAACATCTTACACGGCCTTTTCACATTTGTCAAAACCAAGAAACTAGCTACATTGGTATTATCTAAACTCTAGAGTTTAATTTCACTGACAACGGCCTTTGAAAGTGTTAAGAGTGAAACGCGATTCAGAACAGAGGTCTGGGGTGTCAGGGCCACAGAAGTAGCTTGTGTTCTCTGCTACAGGCACAGCACTGCCAGCATGAAGCCAGAGCTCCTATTTGAGAAGAAGATTTTGATGTTGCTTTCTTTTGAACAGTTTTGTATGGTACTAATATTTGGTGGAACTAAACATCTCTTACCTGTGCAGTCTTACTTTTATTGACAATTTCTGCCAAAGAAAATGAAAACACACCTATGAGAAACAAAATATGATCTTGAATCAGTCTGTCTCACTCGAATTAAAAGAAACAAAACAAGAAACAAAAAACTAGAGTAGGTTTGAGGTATTGAACACTAATGATGAAAGAGTGGATGAGTTGTGGAATGACAGGAAAGCAACAGATCATTACAAAGACAGGGTAGAAAAAAAGCCCAAAATGGATGTTAGAAGATATTCAGAAGTTTGCACTAGAACATTAAGGATTCAAAACCAAGGGAAGAAATGCCAAAGTATAAGAGATGAACAGAGCTTTCAAAGAGTAGCTACAGAAGACAAAGTAGAATATTGTAACAAAATGGACAAAGTGCTATAGTTAGAAAAATAAAGCGAAGCACTCAGTATTTTTCAAGTGGAAAGAAAAGAAAAACAAAATTAAACATCCAATTGCAGTACAGAAGAATGCTGTGAGAAAAATACTAAGCGATCTGGGGATTACTAAATAATCAAAATAACATGGAGGGAATACACGAGTCACCATACAAAAAGAATTGTTTGACATGGAATCATTGCCGGAAGTTATTGTTAGGTTTCATCAAGTTGAGTATGATTCATAGTGACCCTGCGAACAACAGATCTGAACCCTGACCATCCTGTGCCGTCCACATAATCTCTGACATATGATTAACAACCAGCTATAATAAAGGAAGACGTTCTAACTACACTGAAGGCATTGGCAAAAAATAAGGGCCCAGGAGTTGGTGAGATATCAATTGACATGTTTCAACAAAGGTACAGTCCTAGATGTGCTTATCAGACTATACCAAGAAATTTCTAGGACAGCTAGCTACCTGACCAACTGACTGGAAGATAATACAGCCAAATATGAAAATTACTGAACAATAACTATCACATGGAAGTAAAATCTTTGTTAAGGTGATCCAAAAATTACTAGAACAGTACATCAACAGAAAACTGCCATATAATTAAGCCTCTTCTAAAAGAGGCCATGACACCAGGGATATTATTGCTTACAACAAATGGATCTAGGCAGGAAGAAGAGACTACTAGGAGGATGTTTATTTGTGCTTTATTGATTATGCAAAGGCATTTGACTATATAGGTCACAATAAATTATGGTTAACATTGAAAAAAACGAGAACTCAAGACACTTAATATGCTAAAACAGAACCTGTACCTAGGCCAAGAAACTGCATGATTTAAAATCAAGAAAAATGCGTGCGGGGGCTATAGCCTTTCTCCATATCCCAATTTATTGTATATACTGAGCAAATCATTTAGAGAAGGAGGATTTTATGAAGAAGAATGTGGCATCAGAATTGGAAAAAAATATCAACAACCTACAGTCTATCTATGGCATATCCTTGTTTTCTGAAAGTGACGAAGACTTAAAACATTCTCTACAGAAGATAAAAAACTACAGCCTTCAATGTCGATTACATCTCCACATCAAGAAAACAAAATCCTCACCACTGGCCCAATAAGCAACATATTGAAATTGTCAATGATTTCATCTCTTGGATCCACAATCAATATCCTTGTGACCAGCAATCAAAAACTCAAAAGAGTAGTTGCTTTGGGAAAATCTGTTGTTAAAAACCTTTACAAAGTGCTAAGGGCCATGGTATCAGTTTAAATTTAGGGAGCACTGGTGACCTAGTGACAGGAAGATGTGCTGCAATCCTGAAGACATGAGGTTCAAATCCACTAGCCACTCCATGGAAGAAGGATGAACTGTCTCTTCCTGTGTGATTAACTGCCTCTGAAAATCTGCTGGAGGGTTGGCTATAAGTTGGTTCCTACTTGATGGTAGACAACAAAACAACAACAACAACAACAACAACATTCAATCCATAGTCTTTTTAGTTATTTGCTGTGTATCTGAAAGTTGGGCATTGGGTAAAGATGACAGAAGAAGAGTTTTTGAGCTATGACATTGGAGAAGAGTACTAAATGTTCCATGGCCAAAAGAAGAAACAAATATGTCCGGAGGAAAGTACAGCCAGGATGCTCCTTAGTGGTAATCATGGTAATACTTCGTCTCACATACTTTGGGATTGTTGTTAGACTATTCCTTGGAAAGTACTTGGAAGGACAGAGGGTCAGTGAAAAAGAGAATGATGATTGACACAATAACTGCAACAATGGGCTCAAGTCCATTCGTGATGATGACAATGGCACAAGTTAGGGCCGGGTTCCTATCTGTTCTTCATAATCGACTCAGTGACTTCTGATAACAACAACAATGAAAAAAAAATGCTTTTCTGACATTAAAAAGAGTGTGGAGTCTCAGATATTCATAATAAAAATGTTACTGTTGTTAGGTGCTGTTAAGTCTAGTACGACTCATAGCAACTCTGTGAACTAAAAATCTGTACCTTGTATCCTGTGCCATCCTCACACTTCCTGACACACAAGAGTCCATTGTGAAAGTCACTGTGTCAGTCCATCTGGTTGAGGGTCTTCCTCTCCTTTGCTAACCCTCCACCTTTCCTAGCATCATGCCTCTGTCCAAGCATGTGACATGAAACCTTATAATTCTTGCCTCCAAAGAGCACTCCAGCTGCCCCCTCTCCAAGGTATATGATTGTTCTCTTGGTCATTCATGGGATGTTCTGTGCTCTTCTCCAACACCACGACTCAAAGGTATCAATT